AGACCGTAAAGGTCTTGCTGGGAAAAAGGTCATACGAACCTTAACTCCGAAACGAACTACGAAAGGCTTGATCCCCTCAAAAGGGTACGTAGGCAGCCTTCACAAGGCGCAGCCCTAATCTTAAACGCTTTCCGCTCCCTGGAGAGTGGAAAGATCACTTTCAACGGACCTTTCCGACCATTAATTCCGCCTAACTTAATTAAAACTGGTTAACCACTCGCAAGAACCTTACGCTAAAGCCTCACGATTCTTACGAGCTGGGGGGCTAACTGTTGGGGTCAAAATCGGTACGACGGAATTAATAGCCAAAACTCCCCGCGAAAATACAAAAAGAACAGTTTTATAAAACCCGAGGAATAGTTTTATAAAACTCAAAGTCGTTTATAAAACTCGCAGACCGTTTTATAAAACTCAAAGATCATTTTATAAAACTCGAAGATAGTTTTATAAAACTCGAGAAATCGTTTTATAAAACTCGAGAAATCGTTTTATAAAACTCGAGAATCGTTTTATAAAACTCGAAGATCGTTTTATAAAACTCGAAGATCGTTTCATAAAACTCGAAGATCGTTTTATAAAACTCGAAGGTCGTTTTATAAAACTTGAGAAATCGTTTTATAAAACTCGAGAAATCGTTTTATAAAACTCGAGAATCGTTTTATAAAACTCGAAGATCGTTTTATAAAACTCGAAGATCATTTTATAAAACTCGAGAAATCGTTTTATATAACTCGAGAATCGTTTTATAAAACTCAAAGATCGTTTTATAAAACTCGAAGATCGTTTTATAAAACTCGAGAATTGTTTTATAAAACTCGAAGATCGTTTTATAAAACTCGAAGATCGTTTTATAAAACTCGAGAATCGTTTTATAAAACTCGAAGATCGTTTTATAAAACTCGAAGATCTTTTTATAAAACTCGAGAAATCGTTTTATAAAACTCGAGAATCGTTTTATAAAACTCGAGAATCGTTTTATTAAACTCGAAGATCGTTTTATAAAACTCGAGAAATCGTTTTATAAAACTCGAGAATCGTTTTATAAAACTCGAAGATCGTTTTATAAAACTCGAAGATCGTTTTATAAAACTCGAGAAATCGTTGAATAAAACTCGAAAATCGTTTTATAAAACTCGAAGATCGTTTTATAAAACTCGAAGATCGTTTTATAAAACTCGAGAAATCGTTTTATAAAACTCGAGAATCGTTTTATAAAACTCGAAGATCGTTTTATAAAACTCGAAGATCGTTTTATAAAACTCGAGAAATCGTTTTATAAAACTCGAAGATCGTTTTATGAAATCCGAAGATCGTTTTATAAAACTCGAGAATCATTTTACGAAACCACAAAAAAACCGAAATAGCCGTAAAACGCGAACTAGGAAGTGATCAACTAGTTCGCCCATCGGCGAACTAGGACATGCTCGACTAGTTCGCCCATCGGCGAACTAAGCCGGCCCGGCTTAGTTCGCCGATGGGCGAACTAGAGACGTCCCGTATATTCCGCGTCTCGATCTCCCGTATTCCCGATTCGAAACTTACGTCTTTCGACGGTCACGTTCTAAACTACGGCCGAAACATCTCCCGTTCCATCTCGATCCGACTTACCGTTCGAGTTTTACGATAAAAACCGTAAAACTTTGCTTTCTCGGAAAGAACTCGAGGAAATCGTATAAAACGGCAATGGTTAAACGAAACACCGAACATTGCCAAAACTATACGATTTATTCGAGATTTCTCGTTGAAATCATAAAAACGCGTTTTTAATAAAAAAACGCCGAGTAAGTCGTAAAAAACGTGTTTTTAATAAAAAGTCGAGTAAATCGTAAAACCTTGCGATTAACTCGAGTAATTTATTAAAAACGACGTCAGATCAGGAAACGATCCCGTAAAAAGTCGGAAAACGGATTTATCGCAAAACTGCCCGGAAGGACCTAAAACGCGATAAAAACCCATCTCGCGACTTCAACGGAATCTAACCCGCAGATTTAATAACGTTTTGACTGTTTACTCGCTGAAGGAAAATAAAAGTCGAGTTTAAAGATAAAAGGAAGGTTTGAAGAGAAATAGAAGATTTCCGCGGAAGAAAAGGAAGGATCGAGAAGAATGGAAAATTCCCGATTTAGTCAAATCTGGGCGAAATGGAAAGATCGGATAGCCAAGGAGAGGAGTATATAAATAGAAGGTCTAGGGCAGAAGCAACACACACGAAATTCAGAGCTCTCACCACCAAAACTAGCATTTAGGAATATTTCCTTTTTTCTGTTAGCGAGCTGCGTCTCAATTAGGGTTTTCGTTCTTAAGCTTTTCGGCTACTCTTTTGTACCAGTTCTACGCAGATTCGGAATAAGAACCTCTTTGCTCTCTATTTCGTTTATTTTCATTCAAATTCTAAGTTATCGTTTTCTTATTTTTCGTTGTGCGGTTCTCGCAGATAGCCGGTTCCTCTGAAAACTTAGGGTTTTCCCGAAGTTTCCTTTTTTACGATTTATTTGACAGTGAGTGGATTTCGACACCCACACATGGCAAGAGTGTTGTTGAGCTTATTGATCCAAACTTGAAGGGAAAGTTCTCTGCAGAAGAAGCTAACGTAATTTTAAAACTTGCTTCTCAATGTTTGCAGTACGAGGATATAGAGAACCAAAACACAAAAGACCTTGTTACAACTCTTGAAACCTTGCAAACTAAAACAAATATAAGGGTATTATTGTGACAGTAGTTGCATTCTTGATTTTTTTTTGTTTTGGCATTCATGCTATAACGATGCTTGCATGCCTCATCTTATGGAATGCTTGAAATGTCAAAGCATAAAGAGATATCTCTGAATCAGCTTTCGACGTTAGGAGATGCATGTTGGAAAATGGACCTCACAGCTATTCATAAAATCTTGGTGATGGCAGAAGATGATAAGGAACTCGTCGAGGTAACCAAACTCATCAACTTACATGATTCTGCTGGCATCAAAGAGCCTTACTATTTGTTGGTTTTATTCTTGAGCTAAGTTCTCTTTCGAAAAATGGTTAGAAGAGATAATAGATATTCAAGATGTTCGAAAAGGCGGTGATCAAGCCTTTCTAAAGCAAGACTTTGAAACTGCCATTGACTGTTATTCTCAGGTAGCTAATAGTATCAAAACCTATTGCATCCTCCTTTGTGTATTAGTAAAAACTCTCTATATCAGTTTCTGTTTTCTGTCCACAGTTAATTAAATCTAGAAGAATGGTGTACCCGAGTGTTTATGCTAGGCGTTGTCTATGCTATTTGTTCTACAATAAACTAGATAAAGCCCTCTACGATGGGATGCTTGCACAGCAATTATTCCCTGATTGGCCAACGGCCTTCTATTTTCAGTCTGTGGCACTATCCAAATTAAACATGATCACGGATTCTGCTGATACTCTGAAAGAAGCAACTCATCTTGAAGCAAAGAGAGCATCATGAGAACAAATCTTGGTTTTGCATATATACTTCTGATTTTTTTGGTCGAGGCTTAGTGTGCAAATTCTTTTATAAGAGTAACTGTTGAAACCTTTTGTTTTTGCTATGATTCTCAATTTTCATAATTTGACCATATTTTCGATAGCTTTTGGGTAAATAGAGAAATGACGTTTCTTGTCTTTTAGTCTAGTTTCTACTTTGTGTGAAAATATTTATGTTTGACTATGGAGGTTACATAGAGATTGCTTTGCGTACTCTCCAACAAAGGTTAAATGTATATGTATAACGCATGAAATTAGAACAGCGACAAAGACAATGTTAGCGACCCTCTTTTCTTTGATCTACATTATTTCCATCCATAACAATTAAGAATGAATACACAAGTGTCGCAAGATCCACAACTGTCAATAAAAAACAAGAACATGAATACACAAGGGGCGCAAGAATTGGAGGTGTCGAAGTCTGTCACACATTTTAGTGGGACAAGATCCGAGGTTTGCAATATGGAGGTTGTACTTGTGTACATGTAATTTTGAGAGTTATTATTTTTCTCCAACATCAGCGACATGTCTTATTGTCACTCGTGCAAATATGCAATAAGGAACATGGTCTTAATGGAGATGTGAGCTGTGAAGATGGTTAGAGAGAGACAGCTGATATTAATGAGATCTTGATCCATTACTTTCATATTACATGAGATGTCTTTTGTAACCAGGTAAAGGGCACATTACACAAACATCTTAGTAATGATTTGCATATTTTAAGCAACCACAGATTCCTCTTTTCTCTCTTCCCTTGGTGTATATAGGTAAGATCGTAATGAAAAAGCAGAACAAACATCTTAGCTTTTTCAAAAACAAATAACAAAACAGAAACGGAAAATGGCAATCTCTTTCCACGTTCGGTCTATCAGTTTCCCCTCTAGATCTCACCCACAAGCTGCTCATGTTAATGAGCAGTTGGCCCGTTTGAGATCTTCTGAGGAAGCCTCAACATCTTCTATATGTCACAGACTTGACAACATTCAAGAGCTACATGAGTCTATTAACAAGCTTATCTGCCTACCAGTCACACAACAGGCTCTATCTCAGGAGCAAAACAAGAAAGCTGTCGAGCAGCTTCTTGATGGATCTCTCAGGATCCTGGATTTGTGCAACATTTCAAAGGATGGTATGTCACAGGTGAAAGAGAGTCTCATGGAGATCCAAGCCATTCTAAGAAGAAAGCGCGGTGATCTTGCTGGAGAGGTGAAGAAATACTTAGCCTCAAGAAAAGCTGTCAAAAAGACATTACAGAAAGTACAGAAGACTCTAAAGGTTGTACACGCTGAAGACACTAACGACGAATCTTTAGCTGTCTTTGGAGAAGCAGAAGCGATTACAATGGCTCTGTTTGATTCTCTTTTTAGCTACATATCTGGATCAAATACTTGTGGCAAATGGTCAGTCGTCTCAAAGCTAATGATGAACAGGAAGAAAGTTACATGTGAAGTTCAAGCAAACGAATTCACAAGGGTTGACTCCGCATTCCAATCTGAAAAGACGTTGAAGATGGAGGACGTTCAGATTCTTGAGTCATCCATTCAAGATCTTGAAGATGGACTTGAATCACTATCTAAGTCCTTGATTAAATATAGAGTCTCAATTCTTAATACCTTAGGCCATTAAAGCCTACAATTTTTGTAAAGAAAAAAAAAAGATAATGGAAACATCTTATGATATTCAAGTTCCGGTTCTAAACATCTCATTCCCTTTAATCTTGAACTCGTTAGTCATCAAAGAACAAGTTCATTCTAGAAACAAGAAAACAGGCAATTTACTATTGACCTTTTAACCCCCACATTTCACTCTTTTTACTTCATGGTAAAAAAATTACGTTCACACTTTCTCAGCAGTATAACTCTCCTTTAACGAAAAAGAAAAAAAAAACTCTCCTTTAACGCCTGCATGGTGGAAGTGGTTCAAGAAAATATAAAAATAAGAAAATTTTAAGTTGCCGTATGCTTTCCACATGTTAAAGATCGACAAATAAGGATCTTGTCTGTTTGACATCTTCGAGAAAGCTGTCTTAAAGATGAAATCTTTTTTCTATCAAGTCACACGTAGAGTAATCATCTGTAACGCCCCAACCTCAATTTTTAAATCTGTTTTCTCCTCGTTATAACTGTATTTTCGTTTATAATTATTTTTAAACGAAAAAAGAGTGAAGTACCAAAAAATAAGGGAAAGTGACGAAATTTATCAGAAATACCAGGGTCAAACCCACCCATTTCATTATCCGTCGGATCTTAATTGGTAAACCGAGATAAACCAAGGAAACCCTAAAATCAAACGTAATTTATAAATCGCATGACACTTACACGATTAATTAAACGTTGAGACCTCTCAGTTTCTCTTCTCCTATCTCTCACTGTCGAGGTTTCCACTCTCTGTCGGTCTCTATCTCACCCACGAAAGTAGGAGAAACGATAACCACAACGATCGGAGGTAAGGTTCTTCTCTTGACAATTCAGTTTAGGTTTTCGATAAGGAGATCTATTTCGATTACTTGGTGACTCATAGAATTCGCGAAATTTGTTGATTTAGGGTTCTTATTGTTCCATCGTGTCTGTCTCTGTCGATTTGGTCTCATTTAGTCATTATCATTATCATTATAGAAAGTAAAAATGGCGAAGACACAATGGACACAAAGGAAGAAGAAGAAGCCGAAAACGAAACCACTGAATGATATAACTTCCCCTCCTTTAAAAGAAGTTCCACTGGGAGATCTCGTTCCACATGTTGCGGATGAGATTCCTAAGCATGGAGAGAAAGAAAAGGAGAACGAAGATAACCTAGTTGACGAAGATAACCCAGTTGTAGATGGAGAGAAAGAAAAGGAGAACGAAGATAACCCAGTTGAAGGCGTAGAGGAAGAGAAAGAGAACTCGGAGAACAGGAATAGCCCCGTTGAAGGTGTAGATGGAGAGAAAGAGAACGAGGGCAATCATGTTGTAGATGGAGAGAAAGAGAACGATGACAACCTTGTAGAAGAGCATGAGAACTCATGAGAAGATGAGGAAGAAAGGTCAGATGAAGAAGAGGATGACGAAGATGCGAATCCGTCTGAAAGTGAAGTACATTCAGAGGAAGAAGAGGCGAATCCACCTGAAAGTGAAGTACATTCAGAGGAAGAATTAGAGGTATACTAGCTCTGTCTCATAGTTTAATTTGGTAGAAGTAAGGATAGAGTAAGGATAACTAGTTTCTGAGAAATGAAATGATAATGTTAGCTCTGTTTGATGGTTTTGTGTAGAGTAGGTTAAACACAACAGGTTGTTATGTTTTAAAACTAAGTATAACTAATTATAAGTAAGTATAACTAAGTATAACTAAGTATAACTAATTATAAGTAAGTATAACTAAGTAAAACTATATAAAAATAAATGACAATGTTTGTTCTTTGTTTGCAGGATTTTGTTAAAGAGGTGCCGGAGGCGATAAAACCGTTGGGCATGTACTTCCCACCGTTTGAGTATAGGAAGAAGATCAAGATATGGAAGGTGTTTTATTGCTGATGTAATGAAAACCCTAAAGGAATTACAGCCTCTGATGACTCAGGAAGAGAAGAGTTGGTTCAAGAATCATCCGCAGTTCAAACACATATTCCACATGCCACAGGTGGAAACCACAAGGTAATGGGGATGTGGATGCTCCTTCTCCGAACCGTACGCATAGTAAGGGAGAAAAAGGCATGGTTTGCGGTGAATGGTTGTCCCATACGATACGGTATTAGAGAACATGCTTTGATATCTGGATTGAACTGTCGAAACTATCCACTGAACTACAAGCAATTAGGAGGCACGGACTTTTTGAGAAAATATTTTGGCAAACAGTAAGGTATCAAGATGTGAAAGCAATGGTTCAGGAGGGAATGGTACCTTCACTTGATAGGTTGAGGCTGCTGGTCTTGTCTTTTCTATCGAGTATTATACTTGGACAGAGAAGGACCGGCGATGATGCCCCTCATGTGGAGCCATTCTTGCTGAGAGTGGTTGATAATCTCAATTTATGTAAAACATTTCCTTGGGGTAGATTGTCATTTGATTACATGTTCAAACAAATTTCTAACACAATGAGCCATTTTGATGGAGAAGTGAAAGAAGGTGTGATATGGCCAGTTCCTGGATTCTGTCTTCCAATGGAGGTAAGTCTATATAACTCATATGTTTTTAACGGTTATGGAAAGTATGATATTGACAGTGTAGAGATATTCTTACATGTGTAGTTCCTAGCGTTTGAGGCCATAGAGAAATTGGGGGAGAAATTCCGAGAGTCAGTTGAAGGAGTAGAAGGCGTAGACTCTACTTGTCCAAGGATGTGTGGATCAAAGTTCAAGAGGAGTGAAATGAAGGGATTTCCATTATCAAAAATAAATAAAGCACTCGATAATACCACGGTTAGTTGTCCCATGTATCCAAAGTATATAGACAATATGTTATGGAAATTTTATAAAGACTTTAACACTGCAGGACATTGACAACATCTTGGCTGCTACAGAGGAGGAAGAGACCATACTAGGTCGGATAACGGAACCAGAGGACATCAGAGATAAGGATGACATGATTGTGGAGAACTAGATGAAGAGGTTGGATAGTGGTTATGTTGTAAGGTTTCAAGATATGTTAGAGGAAGATGTGGCTGCCAAAGCACCTCCTCCTCGGAATGGTGGAAACGAGACAGAAGCCACCTATGAAGCAGCAGGGAACAGCTTGACGCTAAATCAACTGGTAGAAGTCATTAATAGCTTCAAGGACGATATTGGAGGGCGGGTGACAAGGATTAAGTAGATGGTTGAGGAGATGTTAGATCCTAGGAATGCGGATGAGGGAGAAGCCAGCTCGAAGAAGCGAACCAAGAAAACTTCAGAGGCTATTGAGAAGAGGCCAAAGAAGAAATCGAAGAAAAAGTGGTGAGTTTCTTTAGATTGCTTTTTTATATAAACTTGTGTTGCTCTACGTGTGCTATGTTAAACGTATCTAGTTTAATGCTTTTGGTTTGTAGTAAAACTTCTGATTCTTTTGGTTTGTAGTAAAGTGAAACTTATGTGATATGTTGCTTTTGGAAAATGTGTATATGTACAAATAAAGTAAAAGAACTCGAAAACAAGCATAACAAAACATCACTATCTATCTATCTATCTATCTATCTATCTATCTATCTATCTATCTATCTATCTATCTATCTATCTATCTATCTATCTATCTATCTATCTATCTATCTATCTATCTATCTATCTATCTATCTATCTATCTATCTATCTATCTATCTATCTATCTATCTATCTATCTATCTATCTATCTATCTATCTATCTAT